TGTGAAAGAATAAAGCTTATGGTTCTATGATCTGACTAGTAGTTTTAAATAGAGTTCAGTGGTTAGAAAGGAGATACACTTGGCTTCACTCACCTGCCAGAATTTATATTAAAACAGTTGTGGTTCTTCATAGGCCTTTAAAAATCCTCAAGATTTTTCATTTGTTTGAGGACTTTTTTTGTACATTATTGGTTTGCACAGCAATTGACATAGAATAAAACTAGATTCTGGTACCAAAAACCTGCAGATGAAGCAAAGATAAATAAGTTCCAGAGCAAAGAGTAATCACTAGTTCTGTGAAATGTTAAAGATGGTGAGTAGGTAGCCAGTGGCCTGAACAAATCTTTCCATTGTGAGACTTCCCAAGAAACCTGGTGTCCCTGAGTATGATGCTGCCTGCTGCCTGGAGTTAATAGCTGCTGTGCCATGTAACTTCCTAAGTTTGAACCTTTAAAAAGTTGTTGTTTTTGTGGGGGCATTTATTTATTTATTTACTTTGTTTTTCCCTTTGAGTCAAGGTCTCACTAGGTAACCAGGCTGGCTTGAAGATTATAATCTTTCTGCTGCACCCTCAAGATGATAGGTGCATGACAGCTTGGGGAACTTTAATATTTACCGAGCATTAGTCCCATGAGTGTGTGTCACCACACTTGACTTGAACATTAATTTTTTAGAGAGATAATCTGAGACAAGATCTTTTGTATTTTTTTTTTTTTTTTTTAGAGTACATTGATTTTTACCTGTGTGTAGCAGGTATGCAGGCTTCCTCATTGCCACGGGAGCATTTAGGTGGCTAATGCCCTAATTATTTGCTTTGTCTCTGCTGCTGACCTCTCATTGTGCTGGGTGGGATTTGGAACATAAGAAATGTGGTTTCCTGGCTCTTTAAGACTTCAGTCCAGTTGGAGAGAGCTATTTCCCCAAACATTAATGTGGGACAAAAATAGCAGTTAACATTTAAAAAGCTGAGCACTCCAGGATTTAAGTATTTGGAACAGCAAACTGAGAGGCATAAACAGGAAGGTTTAGGATATAAGTAGTCTGATAAAGAGGGACTAAGTAGAAAGAAAAGGTTAGGGTCGTTTGGTTAGGATGTACAAGAATGTGGAAGGTTGTCTGGGGACTTAGCCTAGTGGGAGAAAGTTCCAGAGCAGGGAAACATTGTTCTTTACGGTCACTTGTTTGAAGCATTTTTCTAGGTCCTTCCAGAACGTGCTAGTAGTAGAGAAGTGAAGAGAATTAGCAAGGCTAGTGGGCACCAGAGACATACCGGCTGCCTTCCATCCCAGATGAACAGCTGGCCCTCACAGAAAAATTTGTTTGTTTCTTTGGTTGGTTGATTTTTCAAGACAGGGTTTCTCTGTGTAGTCCTGGCTGTCCTGAAACTGGCCTTGTAGACCAGGCTGGCCTCAAATTCACAGAGATCCACCTACGTCTGCCTCTCAAGTGCTGAGATTAAAGGAATGGAATATAACTCTTTATTTATTTTGTTTGTCTCAAGACAGGGTTTCTCTGTATAGTTCTCTGGCTGCCTTGGAACTTGCTTTGTAGACCTGGCTGACTTTGAACTCAGAGATCCACCTGCCTCTGCCTCCTGAGTGCTGGAATTAAAGGTGTGCACCACCACCTCCTGGAGATTGGCTTTATTTTTTTGAGATAGGGCCTCACTATGTAGCCCAGCCTGGACTAGGATTTAACACCCTCTTTCCTCTGCCTCCTTGGTACTGAGATTACAGATGTGAACCACCACACCTAGCTTACTTCCAGTTTCTCTAAGAGGTTTTAGAACAGTAATCATATGTTACCTTGACTATACATTAGAATCACCTGGGAGCTTTCAGTAGCTGTTAATGCTTGTGCCTAGCCCAGACAATGAATCATTAACTCTGTGAGACAGGACCCAAGCAAACAGAGAAATCTTTTCTTTCCTCTTAGGTTTTCTAGGTGATACGACCTTCTGCTTTTGTGTCAGCGTGTCTGTAAAACATCTCCAAACAGCTCACTGTATCTCTCTATTGTTTAAGTATCACTGTAATTGTGAAAGCCGTGCAGAAATGAAGAAAGAATTATGTGTGTGAGGGTGGTTGGAAGGTTTCCCTAAGCCTCGGTTTTAAGTCCTTTTTGTCAAGATGGTTTGTGTTTGTAGCCTCGCTAAAGAAACTTGATGCCAGACAGATTCAAAACAAAGTTTCCCTAGACTCTCACCAGCTCACCAGCCTAGGGAGAGTCTAGTGACTGAGTACCAGCCAAAATATACCTGTGGAAGTGCTTGCTTGGAAAACGGTCTGTGTTGAAAGCATTAATCAACAATTTTGGAAATTAGTGCTCCTCCTTCAGGCCAGAGTCAATAGGTGTGCATCTTTAGGGCAATCTAGTGAATTCTGTGTACTAGAGTAGACCTCCACATTTTTTTTTATTTGAGAGAGAGAGAGAGAGAGAGAGAGAGAGAGAGAGAGAGAGTTGGGGAGTATACATGTCCCATTAGAGGACCACCCACAGGAATGAGTTCTCTGTTTCTACCATGTGGGTTATAGGTATCAAGTCATCAGCCGTAGTGGCAAGTACCTTTGTCTGCTGAGCTGTCTCACCAGCCTAAGTACCGTATTTCAGAGATGTAGAAGTAGCCCAGCCTTATAGCCTCTCCAGGTCAGAGGGACCTACCTACCACATTGGAAGGTGGAGGTCCTGGGAGTGACCAAGATGAAGGTTCTGGTTCCTAGTCTGCTCAGCCAAAGCTGTGCTGTCTTGGACAGCTCTCTGTATCTTGTGGATTATGATTCTGTCTTCCAGAGTGGCTGCCCAGAAGACTGAATGAATAATATAAGGTAAAGGCTTAGTGTAAGTTTCCCCTAATTCTCTTTTCTTTCTTCATTTATGCTCCATATCTTGTGATCCTAGTACATGTCCAACTTGAATAACTTCAGCACCAGACCACAATGACTTGCCAAAATGCCCATGTGCTCCACTCTCCTTGCATGCCAAGATTAAGGGTGTGGTGTCAGAAGGAGCAGGAGGGAGGGACCTCTGTGGGGAAGTGGCTACAGATGGCTAGGTTAGTGGCAGCCTAGACTTCTTAGTTCTCCTGCCCATGCTTTTTGGGCCTTGGTGATTCACATTGTTTTGTCTACACATAGGGTCTGCTCCACATCAGAGAAGGTGAGAAGGGTGGACACAAGTCACTGGAGAACCTGGGGTGCCATTGTAGCCTGTAGGACGAAGCTGACTTCACAGTCTCTAGGGCTTTCAGGCAGTGGGCAGCTATGTTTCCTTTAAAACAATGGAAATTTTAGTGGAGCATTTCATTTTGGCCAGTTTGTATGGCAGTTTTGGGAATCTGAAAAAATCAGATGTCTTTTTAGTCAGGGAATAGCTTTGATCCACTAAAGCAGAATAAAAATGTTGTAAGAAAAATTACCTTTCTAGTGTTCCATTCTTTTCTGTATCTATAACTACATAGCATATGGTGTTTACAGACTACAATGCCACCTCCTGTTTAGATCTTCATAGGTCTAGTTCTTTACCAAATACATTCAGTTGATTTTGTTCATCTCTTTAAAACTAAAATTTATTTTTACAGTAAAAAAATTTGTTTTATGCTCTTTGTGTTTCAGAGAGTAGAGGTGTGTGTGTGTGTGTGTGTGTGTGTGTGTGTGTGTGTGTGTGTGATTTGTGTATGTAAGCAGGCATGCACTTGCCAGAGTTCTCATGTGAAGGTCAGAGGACAGCCCTCAGGAGCAAATTTTCTCTCACCTTCTTGTAGGATCCAGGGATCAAATGAAACTTCTAATGTAAGTTTTGTTTGTTTGTTTTTTAAGATGGGGTCTCTCACATAGTTTTGACTGACCTAGAACTTACTATGTAGACCAGGCTGGCCTTGAACTCACAGAGATCGACCTGCCTCTGCCTCGAGAGTGCTGGTATCTAAGGTGTGCACCACCACTGCCTGGTGGGTCTTGATTTCTTAAGACTCCATGTTTGTAATTTTATTTGCTTTGACGTGAATGTGAATTTGTGTTGAATATTTTTATTTTTTGTTTGTTTTTTGGACACAGGGTCTCATTATGCATAGATGATATAGTGTAGGCTGACTTCAGACTGGTGACCTTCCTGCCTCTGTCTCCCTAGTGCTTGAATTGCAAGGTGCCAGGATTTCAGGCATTGTTGCCATATCCTGGTAAATCTGAAACTTTCTGAACATAGTGTGAGCACTCAGAACGTTAGAGATTGTATTTCCCAATTACAGATGTATAGCCTATACTTTTTAAAGTCTGTTTATAAGCTTTTCTTTTAAGGAGGGCATAGTGTCCCACACCTTTAATCCTCATTCTAGGGAGGCAAAGGCAGGCAGATCTCTTCGAGGCCAGCCTGGTCTACAGAGTGAGTTCCAGGAGAGCCAGGGATACACACAGAGAGACCGTATCTTGGAAAAACAAAACAAAACCAAACAACAGCAAAACATCACACACGCAAATAATTTTTTTCATTTAGATTTCTTTGTTTTATGTGATATATATATATATATATATATATATATCTATATATATATATATATATATCATGTGCATGCCTGGTGTACTTGGAGGTCACTAGAAGGTATCATATACCCTGGAGTTACGGATAGTTGTGAACTGCCCTGTGGGTTCTGGGAACAGAATCCACATCTTTTGCAGGAGCAACAAGCACTCTTAACTGATGAGCCATTGCTCCAACTGTTTCTTTGAAGTCATACATTTATCCTGGTATCAATATATGATTCTTTTATTGAAACAGAATCTCACCATATAATACAAGCCTCAAACTTGTTATTCTGCTGCCTTAATCTCCCTAGTGCTGGGAGTACGGATGCTGGCCACATGACCAGCAGCTCTCTGCTGCCTCTGTGCTGAGTACTGAACCCGGAGCCGCCCTTCATGCTACTGAGTGTATGACCATCCAGCCACATCCTCTACCCACGTTTTTTCATCTTTTACAGCTAAGGCTCTTTCTTTTATCCCTTTTAGGAATATATCATCAGGGTACAAAGAGGAATTTCTGCAGAAAACAGCTGGCAGGTAAGCATTTTTGTCTGTTAGAAAAAATGTTTAAACTGTGGCCAAAGCTGTCTTAGGATATCAGAAAATCTGGAAAAGTCAGCATATTCATATAATGCAAATCATATTTCTTTTAGGTGTAAGCCTTTAGTTTCCTTTTTTTTTCTTTTGAAATTTATCCGTGAGTGTGTGTGTGCGTGCGTGCATTCGTGTGTGTGTGTGTGTGTGTGTGTGTGTGTGTGTGTGTGTATCTCAGTGTGGGTTTGTGTAAGTGAATCCCATGCCCACAGAGGCCAGAGAAGGAAGTTGGATTCCATGACAGGCGGTTGTGAGTCACGTGGTATCAGTGTTAGGAAAGCACACTGGGCCCTTGCAGGAGTAGTATGTGCTCTTAACCCCTGAACCATTTCTTCAGCCCCACGTGTCTTCAGCTTTAAGATAATTGTGCAAAGCCTTTGTTCTTGGTGGTCAGTTAATGTGTATATGAGGTTATCTGGAAAAATAGAAAGCCATTCTCCAATTCAGCCCAGAAAATTAAAGTGACTCACCAGGTAAAAATGATGTGCAGTTGGGTCACTGCATTCTATGGACAAGTTTACTGTTGAACAGCTGGAGCTAGCTCCTTCATTGTCCCTCAGGAAGGCTCTTCCTGAGGTCCCTGGCTCTGCTTTTCTCAATGCTGGACTTAAAGAGAAAAGACAATAGAGAAAAGGTCTTTTCCATCCTGGCTGACTGGAAAAGGGTAGTTGAATTAATTCTTCATGGGGCTGTTTTAGTGCTTAGAGTTGCCATCCTACACCTTCTAATAATATTGTCTGTGCTCTATGACCCAGCTCAAACCGTGGCTTCACCTTACACAGTCTCTGATCACAGTGCTCCAGCTGTAGTCTTTTCTCTGCCTAAAGTTTCAGACTGCTTTTATTTGAGTATTTATCACATCTATTATCTGTTGAGTTTATGAAGTGTTCACCACTGATTTAAACACATTAATTCACTCCACTCTTAAACCATTCCTCGGTAGCAGCATTATTCCCACTTAACACTTTTGAGTTAAGTAACTGGTCTGAGGTTACACATCTTAGATGTTAGCAGAGCAGCGTTGCAATGTGCATTTCCTTGCAGTTAAGCACTGTCCTGTCTTTGGCTTCCTTGTTATCAGGGATGGACATGCATGTAACATTATGTGTATTTGATAAGAATTGTCCTATCAGAATAGTCAAGTCCCAGTGGAAGTTTTTCTAGCTCTACTGCCTTATGAACCTGGGATAATTAACAAAAATGGGCTCTTGGACCCCACCTGAGCCCTGCTGAATGAAACTGTCTTTAGGGGAGGTTCTAGGTGGTATCTAGGTAATTTATCTACATATATTTGAGAACTATTGATAAAGACTGGAGTCTTAACTATTCAAAAGTACAATGTCTACCTTACTGAGATGCCTTATTTATGGTTTCTAACTGTAATGAGACACTAAGACCAAAGGCAACTTGGGGAGAAAAGAGTTTATTTCACCTTACAGCTTATAAGTCCGTCACTGAGGGAAGACAGACAGGAACATGGAGAAGAGAACTGAAGCAGAGGCCATGGAGGAAGGCTGCTTACTGGCTTTTCCTTATGTCTTGCTGAGCCTGCTTTCTTATAGCATTCAAGACCCAGCCCATAGTGGCACACCCACAGAGAGCTGGATCCTTCCACATCAGTTATCCATCAATCAATAAAATGTACCACAGGCCAACATGGTGGAAACATTTTCTCAATTGAGGTTCCCTCTTTCCATATGACTTTAGCTGGTGTCATACTGACATAAAAGCAACCAGCACACCAGGGCTAGTGGGATTTGACTGTGTTCTAAGCAGTAATATCAGTGTAACCAAGAAATGACACGGGACATAAAGGCTGGACTGTTTGCCAAGAGGTGATACAGTCTTACCTACAGGAACAGACTTAGTCTCCAGGGTAGATGGCATTTTGACTGGATGATGTTTTATTCCTGATAAGAACAAATGACATCAAAGCTGTTTCCTTTTGTTTTCACTTATGCTCAGTAAAATTTTTCTTTTTCATTTTTTTTCTTTTTGTAAATCATTAATCTACCCCTCCATGTACTCAGTTAATATGAAAGATATTTGAAAGGCAATTTGACCTGAAAACAAGACAAAAAAAATTTGCTGTTTTAATCTCTTATTGATGTCTTGTGAATTTGGCCAGTATTAACCAGTTTACTGCAACCCAGGCAGCCTTTGGGAGACTTCTCTGTGTGTTTTCTAGGCTTATCAATCAAAGTGAACGCTAGGCAGCACTGTTTGGCCTGGCACAAGGGCTCCACCTCTGGAGCCCCAGAGAATCCCAGGTCAGGAGGTGGAGAGGGATACCTTTGCTGAATTCAAACACCACTGTCTTGTTTCTTACAGATTGTTAGAAGATACAGTGACTTCGATTTACTTAACAACAGCTTGCAGGTAAATGTTTCAAAACACTGGTGACACACATTGCTTGTTTATGATGTCTTACTAGTTAGAAGTCATATGGATAGTCTTTTGTGGATGAGGACTGACTACGTAGCTTGCTAGAGTTCATGTAGGTGTATCTAGGGTACTCTTCTTCTCTTTCCTGATGGGCTTCCCTGAAGTTAGCCCTGTGGATCAGCATTAAACCATAACTGTAGAGACTCACTTAGTCTTTTTCTGTTTGATGATTTCTCTTTCTAAATCTCTTTGATTCTAATATTCTAATCTGATGCCTTTAATCAAAAGAAATCTGGGGCCAGGCAGTGGTGGCGCACACCTTTAATCCCAGCACTCAGGAGCAGAGGCAGTTGGATTTCTGTGTGTTTGCAGCCAGCATAGTCTACAGAGTTCCAGGACAGAGAAAGCTACAGAGAAACCCTATTTCGAAAAACAAACAAACAAACAAACAAACGAACAAAAAATATGAAAAAAAAAAAGGAAGGAAGGAAGGTGTGCAAAGGCTTTGTCTGGAAAGACAGCCAATGCCTCTAGTTGAGGGCTCCTAGATAGGTCTCAGCACTGTCAGAGTCCTGGTCATGTCAATCATTCTCCCTATCTTCAAGGGCTGTGGTGGAGTACTAAAGACTGTTGGGCTTGTGCCATTCCTCAGATTTGAGTGGTAATGGGAGCCTTTCAGTGTGAGCTGGAGTGCTTAGTTGATGACCAGATCGTCTGGGAGGCAAAGGACTGTTGTTCCCTTCCTTCATGAGCTAGCTATCACAGATGCTGGGTGACTTTGGATGGTGTGCACCAAGGTCAGGAGAACTTTTGGGTAGAAAGGAACATCATGCTTCCTTTTCCTTCATGCAGCCATGATTTATGTCAGACTTCAGAAAATGCTGTCAGTAGAGACCAGACATTTACTGTAAAAGCATGAGTACTTCTTCTTTTTCAATTGGCCCACAAATCTGCAGGACACTGTGTAGTTGTTTTTGTTGTGCCTTTGACCCTTGCAGTTCAGTTCTGGGGATTGAGTGCAGAGTCTCCCACCTGCTGCCATTTCCTCTCTACCACTGAATCAAACCTTCAGCCGATACTCAGTTTAATTTTAGTATGACCAGTTGAATTCTTTTTTTCTCCTCTCTCTTTTTTTTTTGTTTAAATTAGAAACAAGCTTGTTTTACATGCCAATCCCAGTTCCCTCTCCCCCCCCTTCCCCTCCCCTTCACCGACACCCTGTCTCATCCCCTTTCTGCGCCCCAGGGAGGGTGAGGCCTTCCATGGGGGAATCTTCAAAGTCTGTCATATTTGGAGCAGGGCCTAGACCCTCCCCCATGTGTCTAGGCTGAGAGATTATCCCTCTATGTGGAATGGGCTCCCAAAGTCCATTCGTGTACTGGGGATAAATACTCACTACTGGGGCTGGAGAGATGGCTCAGAGGTTAGGAGTATTGACTGTTCTTCTCGAGGTCTTGAGTTCCATTCCCAGCAACCACATGGTGGCTCACAACCATCTGTAATGAGATCTGGTGCCCTCTTCTGGTGTGCAGATGTACATGCAGGTAGAACACTGTATACATAATAAATAAAATCTTTAAAAACAAAACAAAACAAAAAAAACTCATCCACTACAAGAGGCTCCATAGACTGCTCCATAGACATAGGCCTCCTAACTGACACCCATGTGACCAGTTGAATACTTACATAACAAACATGTTATTTTCTTAAGATAAATCTTGCCTGGAAATTATTTTTGCTTCAGCGTAGTTTTCCTTTTTAAAATTAGTGCTTCCAACATGTACATCTTATTTTTTTTAAGATTTATTTATTTATTATGCAGTATTCAGTCTGCATGTATGTTTGCAGGCCAGAAGAGGGCACCATATCTCTTACAGATGGTTGTGAGCCACCATGTGGTTGCTGGGAATTGAATTCAGGACCTTTGGAAGAGCAATCAGTGCTCCTAACCTCTGAGCCATCTCTCCAGCCCTGCATCTTATTTCAAATGCAGATATCCACATGCTGTGCATGCATTTTTAGGGTTGTTGTGTGTGTGTTTGGGGGGGCGTGTTTTGAGACAAGTTTAGCTTACTATGTAGTTTAGTTTCCATATAGTTTAGCTTACTATGTAGCCCAGTATGACCTTGAACTCCTCTTGATCCCCCTGTCGTCTCAAAACCCACCACATCTGGCAGTGGGAGGTTTCTCTTCATCCAAGAAAACAAACATGTACATGTAACTTTTTAGCAGTGAAATAATTTTAAAACAGCCTCTATAACCAAAGGACTCAGAAACCTCAGAATGAAACTCAGTATCTGATTATTCTCTACAGATAAATGAATTCCTGCTGAAGGAGAGAAATAGAATCCCAAGTTTGGAGTGTGTCTGAGTACAATAGAAACATACTTTAGTGAAATGATGTTTCAGAATGTAAACTTACATACCATAGGAAATGTTTAGGAAAAAAGATTGGAAGGAAATATGCCAAAATGTTCACTGATGATCCCCAGGTGGCAGGACTGTGGTTTAAGGTCTTCCCCTCCCCCCAGCTCTTTATAGTGTTTGCTACTTTCCATGTTCTATTGAATTACGTGTAAACTAAACTATGTAAGTAGAAAAAAAATAGAAGAAAAGTTTGTGCTTTCCAAAAAGTTTTATGGTTTATCATATTTCACAGTAATGGCACAGAAAAAAAAAAAGCACCGCATTTCAAATAAATGTAATATCAAATTAGCAGCTAGCCAGGAAGACCATGCAGCAATCAAAAGGACAGGAGAAAGGGGTGGAAATAATGGGAAAACCCTGGCTCTGGCCTGGTGTTAGACCTTGGATCAGCCATCTCTTAGGCCTCATTTTTCCCTTCTCAAATAGAGGTTGACTTCCATGGTCTCTCATACTCCAAATGTTGATTATGATTTGAATTTTACTGCCCATTGTTGACCTTGGAGAACTTATGATGAGATAAATTAAAGGTTGTTGAGAATTTAGAACACTTACTGGCATATGATTGAAGGTAATTGTTAAAATCTGATGATGGAAAGGAGAGTGGCCAGTCTGGCGCTCACAACCATCCATAGCTCCAGTTCTAGGGTATCCGAAGCTCTCTTTTGGCTTTCATGGGCACTAGGCATGCACATGATGCACAGGTATACATGCAAGAGAAACAGTTATACACATAACATTTTTAAAAATTAAAAAGATTTTGAGGAAAGTGTTCATTGCCATATATGAGCATATCACATGATTTATACAAAAGTAAGATTATATCCTATAATTTCATAAGATATTTTTAAAGGATACACTAGTTATGTTTAGGCTATATTAATATATGTCCCTAGTAATTCTTTCTGCAACATCAAATAAAATAATCAGCATGCTGAGTGATGTGCTTTCTTTGTATGTATGCATTATATTTAGCTAAGTAAGCAACTGTAATCACTTCTTGACCTTTTTGCTAAGATCAAGTGAAGAAACTGCTCAGTTAAAGCTTACTTTTATGAATGAGGAAAACAGCTTGAAATTTCAAGTTTCTCAATTGGTGACAAACTGTGCTATTATAGAAAATTTGTCCTAATTGTGTCTGAAACATTTTCATAGTTATACAGGAGAAATAGGCAACTTAAATTAGCCAGTTAGTCTCCCATCATATTGTACGCATTACTTTCTGTTGCTGTGATAAAAAACTGTGACCAAGACAACTCATAGAAGGGAAGTTCATTTTGACAGCTTTCCAGTCCTGTGATGGTAGGGACAGCATGGAAGCAGGTGGCAGGTGTCGAAGCTGGAACAGCTAGATGAGAGTTCATATCTTGAAGTACAAGCACAAAAAAGAAAGATCGAACTTCAGGAAGGGCAAGGCTGCAGGTGAAAGACCCCCAGAAGCTCAGGCCTCCAGGATCTCAGCCCAGGACCATGGTCACCCCAGTCACCAGGCGGAGTCGAAAGCTTGATGCAAACTGCATGAGGCTTTATTATAGTTGTTTAATTGTGGAGGTGAAAGCTTGATGCAAACTGCACGAGGCTTTATTGTAGTTGTTTAAGAGTTAACCCCATGTTATCTGGGGTCTTGGTGGATGGCTAGGAAAGATCCTGCAAAGCATCTGCATAGAGATCTTATAGGGCAGCATAAGGGGAGTGTCTACAGTTACACACAGGCTCAGGGTTGGTGTACCTCCAGGCTTGGAGTGTTTGCCCTGTGTTGATTGGCCAACTGGTTGTTATGGCCCATAGGTCCTCCCAGGGTGGTTGTTGTGCTCTGCGAGTCATTGCTGTGCACTTGTCCATAAAGCACACCCAGAGTCATAAAGCATAGCGCCACCAGCTAACTTCTGATGGGTTCCTTGTCCCCAGACAGGCATCTGACCTCTAAGTGACCAAGGCAAGTTTATGGCAAGCACGTGTTCGGCTGTTATGGCTGCCGAAATGGGGAGCTGGTCCCTTCACAGGCTCTCAAAACTTGCCTTTAGTAACATATTTCCTCCAGCAAGGCCATACCTCCTAACCCTCCCCAAATGGAAGCCCCAGCTGGTGACCAAGTGTTCACCACATGCATGAGGCTATGGGGGCCATTTTCATTCCAACCACATGCCTTATATCATTCATTTGACTGTGTCATTGTTGCTTGAAAAATCAAGTGGAACCTGAGTTAGCTTTGCTCCTGTGAATAACTTACCATGCATCCTTTTCTAAATTTAAGATGCCCTTCTCATCAGGCTTTAGTCTTAGTCAAACAATATGCATAACATTTGGATTGCTGTTTTGTTTTTTGGTACAAGTGTCAAATAATACTATAGTATTCCTCTTTGAAAGAGGAATATCACTTGGCTGAAGCTGCCAAATTCTGCTGCTTGCTGGGGCTGGAATGTAGCCCCCATGTTTAACTACATCTTCACTAGCTTTCTATCCTTCATTGCCTAAGCTTGGCTGTCCTGAAACTAGATATCTAGACCAGATTGACCTCAGACTCAGAGATCTGCCAGTCTCTGAGTATTGGGATTAAAGGTGTGTCCATC